CATAGCTATCCTAATATTTAAATGTTCATTACACATTAACTATAAATATATAATTATTTAAACTATAAGTTTATAGTTATAAATATAAATCATGTACTAAACAATTTAATTAATTATTAATACATTGTTTAGATTTGTATAGTTTAAAACAATAGTATTGATATTATTTGTTATATAATAAATTTAATAATTAACAAATATTTTTGAGTTTTTGAGTTTGATTATTATTATTTAATATAGTTTTTAAATATAAATATTTAGTTAGTAACGTTAAATATAAATATGAAAATAAACCTTTCTCTATTATTATTAATTTTTTAATAGCATTTTTAATTATTAATTAATGGCTTTTTGGTTTTATTATAAGTTGAATAGGTTTATTTTATTACATATTATTAATAAAAATATAATTATTTAATAGATTGTTATTTCATTATTATTTGTGTTATTAAAATGTTATTTGTAACTATCGGTTTGATGTGTAAAACTATGCTGCATTTGTCACAATTTTTGTGTTAATTATGGCAATCACAGCAGTAATAAAATATAAACCGATATTTAAGAATTGAATTAGCTTGTTTTCCCATTAATTGGCTTAGTATTGATTCAAATAACTATCTGTTTCTAAGTTTTTTCATTTACAAAAGTCGGCTTTAAGCTCGCCGCTAGATCTAAAAAAACTAAATGAACATAAATTCAAGCCCACTTTGGTGACGTGGCAAATAACAAAGAAAAAACACTTTTGTCACGTGATAGACCCTGATTCAGCATTCATAGTTAACAGTACAGTACATTTAATTATATTAATATAATTGAAATCAAGAAAATCAAGTCGAAGTAATTGAAAATGATTATGTTTTTTGTCCATCTGTAAATATATACAAATGATGATTATTTTATGATGATTTTTATCAAGTAAAGTTGGATTTTTAAAGTTATCTACAATAAAAATAAAATAATGTATTTCAACTACATTGAAAATTATTATTAAGAATAGTAAAAAACTTTATTTAAAAAAACTTTTTATAATGGTATTACAGCATTTGATTAAAATGTTACTTTGTAAATTACTAAATTCTCATTAAAATAAACAACAATAATACAACATATTTTTTTGTAATGTAAATACATGTAATAACACTGATTATAAATTAAAACAAAAAATAATTATTATTGCAATGAACAATTTTAACACAGAATTAAAACTTACATAATTATATCCAATATAATATAATAATTGATTTCTTGTTGAATAGTGATTAGGGTGCGCAACCGTTGACAAAATATTTGCTGTTTGCCCGTTTTTTAACACAAAAAATACTTTGCTTTAATTGTTTTATTTTTACAACTAATCGTGATCTTCAAAATCTCGAGATCTGAGATTTTATTAAAAAGATCTGCCATAACAACCAAAAAATCAAAGCTAAAAAAATGAACCAAAAAAAATTTTTTTTTGTTATAATGCATTTTAGTTTTAACAATTACATTTTTACTTTAAAACTTTAATGTTAAAATTATTTAACCTTTTAATTAAAAATCCAATATTTGCGCTTTTTTACCACCACGAATAAATTATATCATTTCAATGTTTTCAACAATTTCATATAATTGTTATATTGACTTTATATTATGACAACAATAATACTTTCCATTATTGTTGACATTTAAAAACAAAAGAAAACAAGCCAAAATTTAAGTAAAAACAGTATTTGGTAAAACAGTACTTGTTAAACTACAACACAATTACAATTGAGTTAAAAAGACAATTAAATGACATTGTTTCTTACTTTTGTTTTAGAATTTTATATATAGACGTTCTGTTTGATCATTCACATGATATTATAAGTTGTTTGACAATTATTTTGCATTTTTCATGATTATTATTATTTTTTAATAAATGTTTTCAATGATATAAATAAACGTTTTATTGTTGAAGTGATAACCACATAAACATGTGTCATATTATATTTTATCTACATTATAATACAATGTTATTGATAGCAAATAAACAACACCAAATTTCTTTACTTGATAATAATTATAAATATCTCTGTAACTTTCTTGTTTATTTTTTGGCTCATTGATAATTATATACACATTAATACCCACAAAAACAAAACATCATCAGTTTCTTGTGGCCGTAAGTTGTTGAAACATACAGAGATTGATGTAACAATCTTTTTATTTACATTTCAACAATTAATCATCTTTGTTTTTATTATTTATTTACATATTCAACCTGGTTTTTTTGAAATGAAAACTTATCGTCTTTGTTTTTCAATTACTTAAATGAATAGAATGTCAAAGTCGTCTTTATTTACAATAAAATACAAATCACTCATATCATTTTATTTAAAAATCAATTGTCAATTCATTCTTTTTTATGTCTATCATGTTTATGACAACACAGTTCATATAGCGTTATTAAACAACGTTTTAATGTTTGTAAGTACCTATTTTAATTTCATTATTATGTTGCTTGTGTTGTATTTTTCGATTTTTATAATTTATTTGGAAATGAAAAAAACAATGTGTTGTTTATACCAAATTATATAATTTGCTGTCAAATTTTTTATCTATTAAGTTATATAACAAAAATTTCTTTTGTTATCTTATTTTATGAATCGTTCTAATTTGTCTTATAATAAATACAAAATATCAAAAAAGTTGTTTCTAATTACATTAGGAGGAAAAAGTGGGATGCTGAGAAAAAGGGGGATGCTAATCTAAATATAAATTTTTTTTGGTGTTTTTCATTTTATTAATTATTTGAATGATTATTTATATTAAAATTTATAGTAATTATATAAATAGTAATATAAGTGGGATGCGGGTCGAAAATTAATACTAAATATTTACTATATTTTATTTAAATGTTTTAACAAACTAATAAATGAAGTTGAAACTCAGAACTGTTATTATCAAATTGAATAACAATATCACCCGTTTGTGCTTTTAAAGAGATTATTTAAGTGTTGAGTCTATTTTATTGATGAAATATATATTCAATTATACATCCACATCAACTAACACATAGAACAGAGAAAGTGGAAGAAAATGATAGTATTTCATTAGAACGACGGAAGTAAAAGAACTCAATTGACGCTTCTACAAACTTATAAAATATTATTTGTTTGTAAGTGGAAGTATGGTTTTAAAATACAGGTTGATGTTTAAGCTTACTTCTCCAAATCATTCCAAAATATAAATTCACACTGTTTCCATTGTGGAATGGTGTTGTGTGTTGGCTACAGACTAAATGATTGTTTAAACTTGTTTTATTTTAACTACTTTTTATTTAGCATTACAACGTATAGTTTTTTATGTCTGCTTAATTAAATACACATAATTATTAATTCATTGTCCTATATGGTTATGATAGTATTGAAAATAAACATTAAACATATAACTTATAACGTCTTGGTAGAGTTGTCATTCGTCAAGTCAACATCAATATACATTTAAAAATTAATAAATAAGAATCAATCAAAATGAAAGATATGAACAGTCGATTGTTCAACAAAAAAATGTTGTGGTTTAATTTTTTTTGTTATAAAAATAAAAATACAGTAAATCAATTAATCTTTTAGAAGTGTTAAGAATATACATTTTTTGAACATTTTATTTTTTGTACAAAAAATAACCAATAGTTGCGAGCATCCTCCTTTTTCTAGCATCCCCTTATTTCCTCCCACTGTATTATTTGTTTTTTATCAACTTTTGGGACAAATAAAAAGTTTATTTACTTTTAATCAAATAATGTTCACACGTTTCAATATAAAGACAGATTTTTCATTTTTTTGCTTATTTCTATTGATATAAAAATAAATTGACATATTTCACTATTTTTTACAATGACAAAAAAAGATTTCATAAAAATGAAAATTTACTCTCACGGTTGCGCACCCTAATAGTGATACAAATGGATAAAACACTTACAAAGATATTATTATACAAATCTATCAATTTTAATATTAAAACAAAGTTGTTATTTTTTTAGTTTGCTTATTAATAAATTTTTAATATAATACTGGTGATTCCGGAATCGGTTCGGGAACCGCCATGTTCCGGAATCAAAAGTTTGGGAATATTTTTTATGAAGTTCGGGAACTTGTGTATTCGGGAACTTATTGGTTCGGGAACACACCAATTTTAAGTTTGGGAATCAGGATGTTCCCGAACCGAGGTTAAAAATATTCCCGAATATTTTTTGATTCCGGAATCGGTTCGGGAATTTGATAAAAAAATAAAATTCCCCAAATATTTTTTTATTGATTCCTGAAACTTCTGATTCGGGAATCAAAAATATTTCCCAAATGTTTCAAGAAAAGCCGATTCCGGAATCTGTTTCGACTACACTATTCCAAACTTTTTTTTTCTTTCGGCAAATTTTTTGGGTCATTGTTTTTTTGATGACGTTGCATTTGTCTACTTGAGTTTTGTCTTTTTTTTACGTGACAAAACTTTTGAGAAGACACTCGTTTTTTTCTAACCATGATTAAAATGTAGATTATATTAATTTATTATATAATAATACTATTTTTATAACAATTATAATTTATTATTGATTATACTAATCAATTGTTTTAATAATAATAAGTTAAAAAACCACGATTTAACTATATATATATAGTAACAATATACTATTTGTTTTACTATATGACTTAACCCTGTTTTATTTTCATTTCGTTTTACAATTTCTTCACTTCAAATTACCTTCTAAATTTGGAGCAAAGAATCCCCTGACGTGGCAGTTTATAAGTTTTGAGCAAACACCCGATTTTGTCCAATACTAGTGCGAAGCCTAATCGATAACTATTTTTTAGAACTATAAACTAAAGCGAAAAAAAAAATTAAATTATATTTTTTAAATTTTATAATATTTAATATTATACAAAAAAACTACATTAAACCATACAAAAAAGAACCTGCAAAAAAAAAGAGAAAAACCCCCGACTTTCCAAGCCCTACTTTTTTTAAAATTCATTCTTTGCTTCCAAATGGCCACCACATTATTTCCAGACTTTGACGAGAACAAGACTGTCTTCGTGAGCGGTCTGACCAAAAACGTGACTGAATCTCTGTTGTACAAAGAGATCAGTGCCAAGTTTGAGTCGCAGGTTGCTTCAGTCCACGTCAGCCGTAACGAGCATTACGACACTGCTATTGCTTATGTCAATATGAACACCCACGAAGCAGCCAAGAAAGCGATAGAGACGATGAACGGGGCATTGATTGATGGGAAGCCAGTCAACATGTTTTGGTCGTTGAAAGATTTCAAGCAAAGAACAGAGACACAGACCAATTTGTTTGTCAAAAACATCAAGAAGACTGTCAGTCAGAAAGAGATGCAAGACGTCTTTATGACTTTTGGTGAAATCATTTCAGTTAAGTTGTCTGTCAATGAGAATGGTGCATCAAATGGATTTGGATATGTCAAGTACAGAACTATTGAAGCTGCACTTAAGGCTGTTGAAAATGCTGCTGAAATCAAGGCAAAAATTGGGGAGGACAATTTCATCGTTGCAAAGTTTGAAAAACAGACGAAGAACAAGAAGACCAACTTGTACGTCTCAAACATCGATAAGAGCGTCAATGAAGAACAATTCGTTAAATACTTCGAAACGTTCGGACCACTCAGAAAGAATCCTGACAATAAATTCCAAGTCTTGTTTGCATCAAAAGATGAATACCCAACTGCCATGGGATTTGTTGATTTTGAGAATGAAGAAGATGCTCAGAAGGCTTTAACTGCTCCAAAGAACAACGTCCTTGGGCAGGGTGAAATTAAGGTTGTTTATTATATGAGCAAAAAAGAGCGTAAGAGAGAATACCAATTAAAGAATAATGAGATCATGGCTTCTATTAAAGGAAAGTACAAAGAGTTCAATATGTATGTCAAGACATCGAACGACTCCGAGCACTCAACTTCTGATGCCGAGATCAGAAGCGCTTTTGCCGATTGTGGTGAGATTTACTCTATCAGAATTAAGTACTTCAACAAATCCCCAACTGATGTCGCCTATGTTTGCTTCACTTCACAAGAAGGGTATGATAAGGCAGACAAAATCGGCAAGGAGCTTGGATGGAGTGTTTACAAGTTCAAAACCAGACAGGAACGATCGTCAGCATACCAGATATTAAACAACTACCCAATGAACTATGCTTTTTTCAATCAAATGATGAACTTTATGAGTCAGAACATGCAACCTTATGGCTTGCCAGGTATGTATCCACCACAAGGTCAGCAACAAAGACAAAGAATAAATCCAGGGAACACAAAGAAGACTCGTCAACAAAAATCAAACAACGAACCAAGGAGCCGCCCAGTTCCAAAGAAGGAAGAATATCAAGAAGAACCAATCAGCAAGCCAGTTCCTAAACCACAAGAACAAGTTACCGATGAAATGAAGAACGATCTTGGAGAAGCACTTTATTCATTCATCGACGATCTTCATATGTTCTCGGACGAAGAAACTGTTGGGAGAATTACTGGTATTCTTCTCGAATCAGTCCCATATGGCCAACTCAAAGAAATGTCTGATAATGCAAAGGATCACTTGAAGGAAGTTGTCATGGAAATTGAGAAATCTATTAAAGGTGCTGACGCCAATTAATTCACCTTTTGTGGGCATCTTTGGTTTCAAAAATCCAATGGATTTGCAATACAATATTTCGTTGTTTTTTTACAAGTAATCAATTGAAAAGAATTGGTTTCCTGTACACACGAATGAATAAAATAATCAATCAAGTATATCGTCGAGTTGGATGAATTGAAACATGCGAATCTCCACATCCCGAGGAAACATCAACCCACACAATGCATTTGATGCGCCAATAAATTCGTAAGAGCGCTGTTTGCAAGAGCACATGTACTTCCCTTCTGCAGTTTCTTTAAGAAACAAATCACCAAATTCCCCAAAAACAAGTCTTAAGTCGTCGTACTCTTCAGAGACATAAAAAGCCTTTGCTGAGCTCTCTCGCTTGATCGGAAACATCCGCGGTTTATTCATTCGTCCATTCGATTCAAAAGAGAACAAAAACGAGTTCTTGTCTGAAACCCATGTTCCTCTCCGCGGAATTTGACGCGACACAACCCCCCCAAACTTGTTGTTTTCCTTATCTACCAAAAGCACAACAAATGCTTTTAAGGAGATAGTTTCTTCAACCCACCTGTCACCAAGTGTTTTGTCTGAACTGTCATAGATAACTTTGCTAGGTCGCGTTGTCTTCAGCCACCCACATAACGTGGTTATCTCTTCTGATGTGAGGTTTGGTAATACCGTCGGTGATACTGTGTGAAAAACGTCTTCCTTTGTATTAGTAAAAACCTTGAAAAACTCCCCTAATCTGCCAGTCATCGAAAAATCAACCGACTGGGAAAGAAATTCATTCACTAACTCTTTGTGAAGTTTTTCGGTGCTAAGGCGGACTGTTTGACCATCTTCTTCATCACTTTTCGCTTTTGTTTCATTTGCGTCTTTGATTTGTTTGAGTTCGATTTGTTCAATTGGCACAACCGTTTTCACCTCTTCTGCATCATCTTTTGGTTTCATCTGAACAACAACAATTCTTTTTGTTGTAAACGTCTTGGGATATGTTGACCCACATAACACGTTTTCTTTGCCATTGAAATTAAACGAAAGCTGTTGACAAAACGAATTTTCACCATCAAACTTGACGACCAAATCTCCCTTTTCACCAAACTTAAAAAGAATTTTACTGCTTTTGTTGGGAAGTCTAAAGCAACAGTTGTACTTCTGACCAATCTCAAATTTTTCCATCCCCTCTATTCTCCCATTTGAGAATAAGGAAAACAAAAACGCTTTTTTGTCGCTGAGTGGCTTATGAACTACTGAGACTTCCTTGTGGAGATACCCACCAAATCTATTTTGATGAGAATCTTCCAATAAAAAGACAAGGTCTTTCTTTTTCAAAAGAAGTTGGGTAACAACAGACTTTTCTTTCTGACTCGATGCACTGTCATATATGATGTCTGACATTGCGAGGTTCGTCCATTGGCAGATCGCGTCTTCTTCTTGTGCAGAAAATGGCGTTTTAAACACATCTGCTTTAAAATTTGCCATCTCTTCATCTTTCTCTCCTTTCTTTTCTTTCATATTTATTGGCCTTTCGTCTATATTTTCATTATCGTCTCCATTGTTCATATTTTTTTCACTCAAAGTGTCCAACTCAGTGAAAAAAGTGTTATCGATAGTTTCTTGTGGTTCTTCTTGCAACAATTGAATGGGAACACTTTTGTGCTTCTCTTCTTTAAGTGTATTAACTTTGGACATCAACTTCTTCCGTTGTGTGTTAACCTTTAATTCGTTGTTGAACCGCTTTTTTTGAATTACTGTTTTCGACTCTTGAGTCTCTAACTCTTGTTTTCTCAATTGATATAATTTGCTTTCATACCCTTTCATTAAGTCTCGAGCACAGTACGCGCTTCTCTCCAATTCGCTAATCAACTTACCACACTTTTCGATGGCTTCCGTGCACCTTTCTTGGGATGCCTTCAATTTGTTATAATATTCCTCTTTCGTAAAGTCCTTTTCCATTTCACACATTTTAAAAACCGTGTCAAATGTCCGGTCGCAGTTTGTGCAAGTCTTTATTGTCTCGTTGAATGTGTCTGCACTAATTTCAATATTTTGAACAATTCGGTTTGACATTGTCATTTCAACTTCTAAGTTTATTTGTTTTATTCATCCACAACAACAAACTATACTTTATTATAAATTGTACTTCTTTCTATTCTATTTTTAATTTGTTATTATCAAATAACAAATAATAATTTGTTATTCAATAAAAATTTTATTCACACAAACCATTATTTTTTTGACAGTAAAAATTACTAAAAATTTAACATATAACTCATATTATTAATATTTTATAATTATAAAATTAATTATTACTTTATTAAAACTACAATTTTGGAGTACTAAACCCTAACAATGAATCCCGCAAAAAAAGCACAAAAAATAGCAAATTAGGCTTTATTTGTTTGTTTTTGCTTGTAGGCCTTGGTCAACACGACAGGCTTGTTGAGGAGGGTCTTTCCGTTGAGCTTTTCAATAGCAGCCTTTTGTTGTTCTGGGGTCTTAAGTTCAACAAAGGCAAAACCTTTTGAAATGACCTTTCCGTTGAATCTATACGATGCAATTCTTGCGGAAACAATGTCGAATCCCTCGAAAAGGGTCTTTAAGTCACTTTCCTGCACATCATAAGACAAACTTCTCACAAAGACGGAGACATCAGAAAGATCTTCTGGTGTTTTCTCTTCTTTCTTCTTCTCGATTGGTTTGAAAGCGGGGGCTAAAGCAATTTCTTTTTCGCCTTGTTTTGTGTTGTTCAACTTTTCGATGGCAGCCTTTTGGTCTTCTTTGCTTTTCACTTCAACAAAACCGAATCCCTTCGACTCAGTTTTTCCTCTGTACTTGAAAGTCGCGACATGTGCTGAAACAACATTAAAAGCCTCGAACATTTTTTTCAATTGTTCGTCGTTGACTTCCATCCCCAAATTTCTCACGAAAATCTCTGTGTCGCTTTCGACACGTTTCTCGTCATGTTGGTATCTTCTTGGCGCACGTCTGTGTGGTCGATAGCCTCTCGCTCTGTTCTCCTCACCTTGTGGTCTTTGTTCTCTCTGTGGTCTTTGTTCGCGGTATGCTCTTGGGGCGCGTGGCTCTCTCTTCTCTTCAGTTTTCTCTTTGACGAATTCGACTCTCAACTTTCTTCCATCAAATTCTACACCGTTCGACGAAATTGCCTTTTTAGCGTCGTCTGTGTTTTCGTACTCAACAAAGGCAAATCCTTTTGAGTATCCTCTGAATGTGATGAGGTGGCACTCTTTGATCTTCCCAAACGACTCAAAGTGAGTCTTAAGACTGTCCTCCGTTGTGCTGTAGCTCAAATTCCCTACGTACAATTTCGTCATCTCTTCTTTACAAGTTTCTTTTCTTTTTTTCAATGTTCTAAAAACAATGTTAACCACAAATCACCCTCTTCTTATTTTTTTTCATATTTCTCAAATGTTTTTTATGATTCATACTGTTTGATATATTTTACCACTTTTATATATCAAAAAAGACTATTTAGGAAAACCTTCCCAGCTTCTCGGCATTTGTTTCTTTGTTGTTTTTGGCTTTGATCGGCACTCATTCGAATCTTCTCGAGTTATTTAACGAACCCGTTTTTTTGGGAAACACTGTCCTTTATAGTGTTTAACTACCTTTGCCATATTCCCATATTTTTGCATGAATTATCCTCGTTATTTGTTTTATCAATTTGACAAACCCTGCAGGTCAACTACATTAAATGGAATAATATATGTATAATTTAAATATTGTTACTATTTTTAACAAGTAACATTCAAAAACAAAACATTTGTTTATTATATTAGAATCATTGTTATAACCGAAACTACTTCTTATATCAGTAATCATTTTATCTTTTTAATAACATTCACACCAAAAATGTGATTCAATTTACCTTATAAAATCAAAACAATAAATAAACTACAAAAAGCTATACTTAATCACTGCGAAAATTGTTGATGTTGTTCGATTGGAACGCAGACAAACTTCTGATTTGCCATCGAATTCAATGTGCCATCGTTATAGAACACAATTCCACTCGTTCCCTCTTCTTTTAAAACTGCTTCATAATATTTCCCACCAATTTTTATAATTGGGTGTTCCGACTCGGTTTCGACTGTCTCAAACTCATCAGTGACATCACACCCATCAGGCAGCTCCAACACAATATCCTCCTCTTCAACTTCCATTTATTGTTTTTTATTTTTCAGTTTATTGTCTTCTTTACAGTTAAAAAATTTTATTTATTTATTTTTATAATAAATGTTGAATTTTCAATGATCAAAATACCATTAACAAATCAAAAACAAGTCTCTCCTTTTGGTTTTTGAACCAAAACAAAAAACACATCTTCACCAGTTATTTTGAAGGTTGTTGTGGTGGGTAAGCTCCCTGTTGCGGTGGATATCCATACTGTTGTCCGTACCCACCTTGTACAGGAGGATACCCTTGTTGTTGTCCATAGCCTTGTTGTGGAGGATATTGTCCGTACCCACCCTGTTGAGGGGGATATCCTTGTTGTGAATATGCTGGTTGTCCTTGGGGTTGTTGTCCATATCCTTGTTGAGGGGGATATCCCGGATAAGCGCCTTGTTGCTGCTGGGGTGGATAATTTTGTCCACCCTGTTGAGGAGGATATCCTTGTTGTGGATATGCTGGTTGTGGTGGTTGTCCATAGGCTCCCTGTTGAGGGGGATAAGCGCCTTGTTGTGGAGGATATCCTTGTTGTTGTCCTTGTGGAGGATAACCTGGGTATGCACCTTGTTGTGCATACCCGCCTTGTTGTTGTCCTTGCTGAGGAAGATATTGTCCATACCCGCCCTGTTGTGGTGGGTATTGTCCACACTGATTTTGTTGTGGAGCTTTTCCTCCTTTGACTGAAGTGACTGAATATGAAAAAGTGATAGAACCTTTGGTGTTAAGTTGTACATCTTTAGTGACTGTTTGACCAATCGGAAGACACTCTAACTTGCAAGACCCAACACCCATTTGGTCGTCTTTGGAATTTTTGTCATAGTCCATAACCACAAACTTTGCCTCAGAGCCTGGAATAACATAAGGGAAATCATAACTTTCGTTCCACTGTGGATTCAAGTTTTTCATGACTGTTCGACTTTTTCTCTGCTCAATACCAACGGTGACTATGCAATAAGGATCACTTGACCGAATGTCCATCTTTTTCAGACCGTGGCCTCCAATTAAGTTCATATGGATCGCCATACTTTCGCACGATGCTCCTCCTTGTTGTGGTTGTGGGGCGAAATAGCTCATTTGATATTCAAGTTTGAGTTACACCATATAAAGACAAAGAACTCTATTTTTCATCTATTTAAGTTCTATTATCTTTTTGAAGTCTATAAATTAATGATTTGGCACATAATTGTCAAATGGTTTATTTTTATTATAATTAAATTAATATTTATTAATTTTTTTATTATTTCTTATCCACAACAAACTGAATGACCCATTTTTTCATTACAAAACCTCAAAATAAATTAAATATTCATTGGTTTTTTGGGGAAGAATATCAACAATAAAAATTGGTTTTATTAGTAAAATTATTATTATTTATTTAATAAAGTTTTTCAAAAATTTTGTATCTTGAATTCATTTTGACGTTCAAAATACCGGTTTTTGTTTTTCCAACAATTTGGTGTATTTCAAAATGGTATTAATTGAATTAAATTATCTGTTTTGCTATTATCAAACAAATACAAATTGAACAACACAACATTTTCATTTTTTACCAAAGGAAAAAGAGAACACGCTTGGCTTTATTTTTGGTGTTTTTGATGTCTTTGAAGGGGGTGGTGTTTTTTCTTTTGATGTGTCTCTCAACGTCTTTCTCCCCTTTCCTTTTTCTTCGCCATCGTTTTGTCTGATGAGTAACAGTTCAAGGCAGTCCGCAATTGTGTCCGACAACAAATCTTTCTTTTCAGATTGACTGTCTCTGAACGATTCTTTAAGTATATTAATTGTGTCTTGCTTCATCATTATATTGTCTTTGTTTTTGCAATTGAGTATGAGCAATTTCACTAACTTCGCAAAGTTCATTTTGGTTTCCATTAATTCAAAGTCAATTTGTGCCATCAACACGACTACTCCATATATAAATTGTGTCTTTGTCAACACAGTAACCAGTTCTGGGGTTTCATTTAACAATTTGGAAAATTCGTTTAATTCTGAAGCGCATTCCCCATTCGAATAATCCGTCTGGTTCAACATCATAGTCAAATACACTATATTCTTTATATCACTTAACGTTTTCATTCCCCATTTCGTGTTCGATAAATACATCCCACTAATTGCTGCAAACACACCGGGGCGAAGTCCTTTCTTACTCAATTTACTCAAAATAAACGCCATTGCGTCAGAATTGATCAAATCGGTATTTCCCTGTTGCTTGACGAGGTTTTTCGAGATGACAAATATTAAGTCCAACACATCATTCTCTATCTTTTCAAAACTTTTCGCAGCCTCACACAAATCGCAAAGTAATGTGAAAGTACTTGGCATCGAACACAACTCTTGGCACACCCTGACTCCAAAGTCACACGACACACAAACAATTTTTAAACATTGTAAAGGGTTGTAAATACCTTTTTTCATAAACTCTTCTAATTTTTCTTGTTTCTTAGACGATGAGTACACTGAATCACATCTGAAGAGTACTTTAAAGAGAAACAATACAATTTTACTCTCAAGGAGTTTTGGGAGACAGTCTTTGTCCGAGTCTACCATCACATTTTTACATGTTTTACAAATCTGGAACAATGCTTCCTCTTGTGTATATTCTTGTTTGTCTTTACCTTCGTCTAAAACAGCCATGTGCATGTTTTGTGTTATCGTTTCCAGTATCTTACTCGATACAATTCTCTGGCAAAATTCATATTTCACTTGTGTTCCATTCCTCACAACAAATTCCAGCATTTGATTAATCACTTTGGTGCATATACCACATATTCCATAATTCTTTGCTATAAAACTTTGAATCGACATTTGAAGGAGTCCTTCTATTACTTTGTCTTTAATCAACAACAGCGAAATCACGTTTCTTGAGCAAAACCCTATTTTCATGACCACATCATTTTGTCGTTCAATAAACTTCACAAGTCCTTCAAGCACTTTCTTAATGTTCCCTTTCTGCCTTTCATCATACTTCATCCCAAGCAACACACTAACCAACGATAGTCCACCAGCACTAAAAAACTCTCTTGCATCCTCTCCAACTAACATGTTATACACAAACTTGACAATCTCATTCAGATAAGGGTCGTTATACTTCACATGATTCTTAGAAAACTCAATAAGTGTTGCACACCCACACATCACAATGTTCTTCCTTATATTTCCTTCCTTTTCTATAATTTTATTAATCACTTGAAATGCAGTGAGTTTGAGTGGGAGGTTATAATTAAACTCTTCTCTCTCAACAACACTCAATGGCGGAAACACACCAACGGTATACACACAACTTGCAATATTCTTAAAAGACAAGTCCGCACACATTTCACATAACTTCACCATCACTCCCATTAACTTCTGAATGTTCTCCTTTCCTCCGTAATGAATTAACTTAGTCGCGTCATCCATCATTTTAATAAAAGCAACTTGTTGTTCATCTTTCGTGTTTTTCATGACATCTATTTCGTCCAATCCAACAGTTGACCCAGAACGAATTAGCTCTTTCTTCTTTTCAACTACAGGACTCCACGTGACCCCCATATCAAAAGATTCTCCCCACTCGTCTTTCTCTCCGCTGACATTCTCTGCTTTAATTCTTTTTATTGCGTTCTTCCTTGGAGACTCTGCACCATCCATATTCATTTGAGAATTCATTCTAACCATTCCAGGTCGTTTCTTCTTCTCAACAATTAGTCCATTCTCAACAAACCATTTATGGCTTTGTAATGATGTTGAAGATGCTCTTGCAAGTGGATTCTTCTGGAAACATTGTAATAAGAAGTCTCTCAATAAGTATGATATCTCATTCGGAATTGGTGGAATCTCATCGGAAACAATTTTGTGTAATGCGGCAGCTGGAGGCAAGTCATAATATGGGGGGTTTCCCGTGATCAGTTCAAGTACGGTACAACCAAGTGCCCAAATATCAGCCTTCACTGTTGTTCCCTGCAACATGATAATTTCGGGACTCATCCAATTTGGTGTTCCAACCACGTCTTCGTTCCCGTTTCGTGTGTTGTCTGTCTGCACAGAGACACCAAAATCCGCAATTTTGACACTTCCATCTTTTGCGACCAGAATATTAGCAGCTTTAATATCCCGGTGGACGATACCCTGTTCGTGGATGAACGAAAGTCCATCAAGAATTTGATACACGTACTTTGCAGAGAGCGCTTCATTCAGTTTGTTAAACTTTTTGATGATATTAAGAAGTGACCCCGATTCCATGTATTCCATCACAATATACAATGACCCATAACTCTCCGTTGAAGTGATGTATCGCACAATATGTTTGTGTTTCAATTTTTTTAATAATCGAATTTCTTCCATCACTTCATTCATAACACTTTTGCGTGTAATTTTCATTTGTTTGATGGCTACAAATTCACCGGAGTCGGCATTCATCCCAACAAACACTTCACCATAAGCCCCACATCCAATACTATTCGCAATGTTAAATATCAACTTCTCGTTGTCTGTCACTGCTGTGAGTTTTTTACTTGTCATTGGATTCTCTCCAACATCTTTATGTGTTTCTATTTCTGTTCGTAATTTTGCATTCTCCTTTTTCTTCATTTCCTCACGAACTTTAAATGCATTTTTGTCTTTTACCACATTTGTATGTTGTGGTGATTGTTGTTTCCCTTCTTGTCCAACACAACTCCCTTCACTTTTTCTTCCTTCCTTTTCGCCTTTTTCTGGTTTTTGTGTGTTTTCAAGTCTTTCGGCGCTTTCAGTTTTCTGCAACAATTGTGAAGGTTTTAAACTTTTATTTGAACTTTCACTCTTTTCTTCGACTTTTGAAGTTTTGGTTTCATTCGTTTTTTCCTTTGCAACATCCAAGTGTTCATCTGTGGTGCCCTCCTCTCCTGTTATTTTGGCTTTTTTCTTTTTCTTTCCTTTTTTGTGTTTTCGAGCTGGCAACTTTTTTCTTTCAGCCACTGGCTTGTTGTCATAAACTTCATCGTACTCCATTGTAGCAACCGTTTCTATCCCATCAAACGTGTATTCGTCTTTCTTTTCCTCTTCTTTCCCTTCTACTTTCTCTGACATACATTTTTACAGTTCTTTCTAACCTTTTGGAGACGAACTTTTTAAAAAAGTTCGTCGCTTTCGAATACTGCTTTTTTCTGTCTTTTCTTTTTTTTCACTAATTTTATTTTTCATTTATTTAAACTTTCACTATTTTTATCATTTTACATACTCGATATTATTAATTATAATACATCTTTTTAACTTTGTTTTTAAACGTAATTCCCCAATTTCAATTTATAATATTTATACTGCCCCTTTATAGAACAATGAAAAGGAAAAAAATGTTTGTCAAGCAAATGTGAGCAAATTAAAAACAATGAAGAATGTGAGAATTATTGATGCGTAAGAAATGAAACAACGAACACATTAAAAAGTAAATGACACAACAACACTAATTGCTCCACCCATCCTCGTCAGATGATTCTTCCTCTTCATCGACGTTAATATCTTCTCTTCTTTTTGCCATTACACTTCTAAGTGCATCGACTATATTTTCTTCGTGTGGCGGTGGTGTTTTTTCCTCTGTTACTTTTGCGGCAGTTAACGACGACTTCCCTTGTTTAAGTTGATCTGCCAACGATGGTCCACGTGGTGGTGGCAAAGCAGGTGCATTTGCTTCTGATGGAGGAAGAATTCCTGGAGGAGGTGGCACCAACCCAGGAGGAGGTAAGACAGCAGCCCCTCCATGTCTCGGTGGGGGTGGAGCTGGTGGGCCATTTGTTCTTGGAGCTGGTATAGGGGGGCCTTGTTTTCTTGGGACTGGTGGAGGCACGTTTTGGTGTGCAGGTGTTCCTGGTGCGTTTTTGTTTGGTGGAGGCGGTGGTAACTAATACGGTTAGTTTCTTTCTTTTAAAATTTACTTACAACAATTATAAAATGGAGTCATATGTACGCAATTATTCGATACATCAGAATACATGAGTACCTCAATGCATTTGGATACATGCAACGTTCTGTTTGTGTCGCTTTTCGGTATTCGATGGATGTTTTCATTGAAGTGTTGCATGTTATTTTTAAATTACAATATTAAGACGTTCAAAATAGAAACCAAATATTACCTGAAAAACAAACTTTCTTTTTAGGTGGCGGTGGGGGTCTTTTAGAAGGAACTTGCATACCCGATGATGATGTTGGAGGTCCGGGTCTTCTACCAGGAGGTGGTGGTGGACATCCTCCTCTGCTTGGTGGAGGTGGTGGCGGCGCTGAAGCATTTTTGTCGTTTTCAGAAAGCATAGAAAATATTTGGTCTCGAGTCGATTGGTCTGCATTTTCTAATTCTCGTCGTTTTACACCTGCGCGTCTAAGTGTGTCTTTCCACTCTGGAGGAATTGAGTCTAAGTTGACTTGGCCATCACTTCCAACACCCACATGATGCATTTGTTTAAACCCCGACGGTTCCGAAATGACCATATTGGAATAATCCTCTTTGGGCTGTCCTAATTTTTTCAGAAAGCTCATTTGACTTTGAAGTTCTTTCTTATCTCTGAATTCCTCTCTGGTCTATTTAATCAAATCACTCCTCTAATCATTTTAAACTACTTTCTCGTTTTCTTGAAAACTATTTTGGGAAAAAAACAAGCCCTTTATGAGACATATTCTATCGTTTAATTCAATTTTATTAGTGATATTATTTTTTTTCATTTTTTTATTCAATATTTAATGGTTTTTAAATGTTTTTTTTTACTATCCAAATAACTCGCCATAGAAAAAGTCTGTTTGCCAACCAAAAAAACAACAAAAAAAACAGACTTTTTCTGTTTTCTTTCTGCGTTTTTTTGATTTTCGGTGTTTTTCTTTTTTTGTTTTTAATATGTTTTTTAACAATTAAAACCATACGATTATTTGAAAAATAATAAAAACTGAAAATTTTTTCAAAGTTTTTTACCATATTATAATTAAATTGATGTATGACATATATAGTTAATAAATACTTAAATTTATAATAAATTACAACTATATTATTTTTAAATGAAAAAAATATTATATATTTTTAGTTTTTATATGTTATAAATAATGATAAATTTTAATCTATAAAAAATAAAACAAAAAAGTTTTTGATTTTTCATTTTGATCGTTACGATCTAATAAATTATACTTCCAAAAAAACACCAATTTATTTATAGTACAATACATTAAATATTGAAAATATGTCACAATATATAAATGATAGGTTTTGTTCAATTAAAAACCTATAAATCCATATTATGTAAACAACTAGAATAAATTAATAATTGAATTATTTTAAAATAGTAAGCAATCCAAGATGTAAAAATGGGAAGATATGACTAGATGAGATGAAAAGATTATTTTTAAACGATTGAGAATATTTCAGAACGAGTAGTGGGTAACTTGAAAAACAAATGGATTTGGTATCATTGCTTTGTATATCAGTGTTTATTGCCATTTTTTTGGTGTTAGTCCGCCTTTATGCAGCTGGGGGTGTCAATCACTCTCACCGTGATTTGACCAACAAAGTTATTGTAGTCACAGGAGGCACCAATGGCATGGGTAAGTTATTAGTTGAGCAGTTAGCGGATTGCGGTGCTCAAATAATTTCAATGTCTCGAAACGATACACTTGCTGGAAAGGTTATAGAAGAGATCAAATCTGTCCACAAAGATTGTGATCTTTCACATATTCATTTGGACTTAAATGATATGGCTTCTGTGAAAAAAGCTGCGGAAGAGTTGAATACCAAAGTTGATCACATCGACATATTGGTTAACAACGCGGGTGTCATGAGAGTGCCATATGGAAAGACTGCTCAGGGTTTTGAAAAGCAAATGGGGGTCAATTACTTGGGGCACTTTTTATTGACGCAATTGGTATTACCAAAGATAGAAAAAGTCCATGGGAGAGTTATCAACTTGTCTTCAGTTGCCTCACTCCTTTATAAAAAGACCGTTTTTCCTTTCACTGCTGAAGAAAAGGAATTCATGTCAATGAGATATTATTGTGAAAGTAAATTGGCAATGGCGATGTTCGCAAAGCAACTCTCCAAAAAGAATAGCAATATCACCGCTGTGTCGGAACACCCGGGTTGCGTCAGAACAGCTCTCTGGCAGTTCTTCCCATATTGGATGCAAATTGTCTGTGGACCGGTTCTGAGAGTCATTTTTAAATCACCAGTCGAAGGTGTTCAAACTGCTTTATATCTCGTGAACGAAGAAAATGTCGCGAACGGGGAATACCACGCAGACTGTAAAGTGGCTGGAAAGCACAACAAGTGTCTTGATGATGACACACTTTTAGAAAAATTGTGGGACGACTCAATGGAAGCTGTCAAACCATTTATGAATTAATTTTTAAATTCTATCCATTATGTTTAAGTTATAATTAATATAATATTAATAAATTAATAATTAATTACTATCAAAAGTTAGAACATATTTTATTTTGAAATTTGTTATTTATAAATTAAAAATTTGGTTTAAGATTGAAAAATTTTAATCTATACATTTATTGTATTACTAATGAATTTTTTATAATACATTATTTTTTAATAAACAAAAATTAAAACCCTTAAATATTTAATTTAAACTGAAGAAATCACAATAAAAAATAAACATAAAATAAAGGGTCTTTATTAATTTTTTAAGAAAAAATATGGTAAAAAGTAAAGTTAAACAATTTTGTGTGTGTTTTCGGGAAATTTGTCTTTTCACAAACAGAAAACCATTATTGTGTTTTTGTAGGTCGACAAATCGTTACAATCAAATAGAAATGCCAATCAATTTTTTTTATACAATAAGTTATAATTAAAATAATAACAATGTATAATATAATTTGTTATTCTAGTTTTCATTTCCATTATAGTACCAAGACTCTCTATGAAACCCTCCTATTTCTCCTTTTGAACCCTTACTTATTATTCAAACATTAATGTCCGCTCCTCAGAACCTCTTCCCAAACTTTGATGATAACAAGACAATCTTTGTCTCAAGTTTGAGCAAAAACGTGACTGAATCTCTGTTGTACAAAGAGATCAGTGCCAAGTTTGAGTCGCAGGTTGCTTCAGTCCACGTCAGCCGTAACGAGCATTACGACACTGCTATTGCTTATGTCAATATGAACACCCACGAAGCAGCCAAGAAAGCGATAGAGACGATGAACGGGGCATTGATTGATGGGAAGACAGTCAACATGTTTTGGTCGTTGAAAGATTTCAAGCAAAGAACAGAGACACAGACCAATTTGTTTGTCAAAAACATCAAGAAGACTGTCAGTCAGAAAGAGATGCAAGACGTCTTTATGACTTTTGGTGAAATCATTTCAGTTAAGTTGTCTGTCAATGAGAATGGTGCATCAAATGGATTTGGATATGTCAAGTACAGAACTATTGAAGCTGCACTTAAGGCTGTTGAAAATGCTGCTGAAATCAAGGCAAAAATTGGGGAGGACAATTTCATCGTTGCAAAGTTTGAAAAACAGACGAAGAACAAGAAGACCAACTTGTACGTCTCAAACATCGATAAGAGCGTCAATGAAGAACAATTCGTTAAATACTTCGAAACGTTCGGACCACTCAGAAAGAATCCTGACAATAAATTCCAAGTCTTGTTTGCATGTGATGACAAACACCCAACTGCCATGGGATTTGTTGATTTTGAGAATGAAGAAGATGCTCAGAAGGCTTTAACTGCTCCAAAGAACAACGTCCTTGGGCAGGGTGAAATTAAGGTTGACTATTATATGAGCCGAAGTGAGAGGTCAAGAGTTTGGTTACAAAAGAGTCTTGAAATTAAGAGCAATATTCAAGGAAAGTACAAAGATTTCAATATGTACATTAACACTTTGAAAGAACCAACTTCTGATGCCGAGATCAGAAGCGCTTTTGCCGATTGTGGTGAGATTTACTCTGTTCGTGTCAAGTATTATGAAAAGGTCCCAACTAGTATTGCTTTTGTTTGCTTCACTTCACAAGAAGCTTTTAATAAGGCGATGACCAAAGGTGAAGAGCTTGGATGGAAAGTCTGCAAGTTCATGAACAGACAAGAGAAGTTTATGACCAACCAGATGTACCAAATGGGCAATGCATTCCCATTGAATTACATGACTCCATTGTTCCAGATGTTTGGTGCCCAAATGGGTGCTTTCTTCCAGCAACAACAACAACAACAGAGACGACCAGTTGGACCCAAGAAGCCAAGAGTTGAGAGATCAGAGAAGATTGAAAAGAAGAAGTATGAACAAAAGAAAGAAGAGAAAAAGCCGGAGCCAAAGAAGGAAATTGAAGTCACTGATAATATGAGAAATGATCTTGGAGAGAAGATTTATACATTTGTCGAGAATTTGAAGAAGTACGACGAAGAGATGATTGGAAGAATTACTGGTATTCTTCTCGAATCAATTGAATACTCCGTCTTACTCCCAATGATGGACGACCACGAACAACTCATCAAAGTTATCGAACAAATTCATGAATCAGTTACAAAGAAATAAGATTATTGCGCCATTGGATTATAATTTAAATCTCCAAAACCCCAATTTTTTGTTTTTTATATTATAATTATTTTCTCATGATATTTTGCAACAAGGTCGTAATTCTTAAAGTGAAACGAACTTTACAAATTCGTTTCACTTTAACACTCATCCAAAGCAATAAAAACAACTCAATACATTAAGTTTAATACAAACAACTGAAAAAGATGTTGCGATAGAATAAATATAAACATAATTTGTTTATACTCATTACATAAAAATTTAATGTGTTGTAACGTGTCAAAATATCAAAAAATGTATAATGTCAAATTAAAGCCCACAAAAGAACGAAAACTAGCAGAAGGAAGTTGTGTTGACTAGAGCTTCTTAAATTGTTATTTTTCTCTTTAATGCACTTCCCTTTTGTGGTACACACATTTCCATCTCGACAAGATCCACAATAAGGAATGCATCCAGTTTTAAAAGGAATAGCTCCTTCATCTATTGAAGTATTTGTTATGGAGCATTCAGTGTTTAAACAGTCGAACGTCCTCAGGTCACAGTCTTCGCCATTTTTTAGTGAAGTTATTCTTTTTAAGTACGCTTTTTTCAATACGACTTTTTGTGGATTTGAAAAATTAAGAACAACCCCAATGACATTTGTAAATTCAAGTGAGGTGCTTGCAAGAGAGACTCCAATTTCAATTTCAGTGTTCGATTTTTTAGTTTTCTTATACACCAAATTGTCTTTGATCAACTTAATTGATTTGATATCGAAAACAGCCAATTTGGTGTCTAACAAAAGTAGCGTCTGTGTTGCATGTATTTGATCTGCATCTTCAACATCCAACACCATTTTTAGTTCCAAAAAATGCTTTTGTACTCTCATGGGGGCTGGATATTCAACACCTATCAATGAAAGTCCATACATGTTCATTTCAACGGACGCTGCACCCGGGGGGAAAAGTTTCCAAGAGTAGTCTGGATTAATTTGCCAAACACTCCATTTTTTAAATCTGACGTCCCCCAAATCGTTTCCCACAATTTGAGTTTCTGCTGTGAATGTGCAAGGCTCTGATTTGTCTGCATTGAATCTAATTGTCGCAGTGGTTTTGTTAATGGTATTTAAATTGACCGACAAAAATCTTATTTTTTCATCGTCATAGGCAATGAGTTGGATGTTCAAAGCTTCTTTGAATAGTGGGACAGTGTAGGTATCATCGTCTTGTTTATAATACACAAGAACATTTCCATTTTTCTCGATTCCAACTCTTTCTCCCAATTTATTCGAATCTGTGAATTGAATAACGGCTTCAGTCTCCGTCCTAGAAATAACATATAACGTTGGTGGAATTCCAATATCAAAAGCAACTTCAGAAAGTGTAACTTGGACACTATTTTGTGTTTCGTCGGAATAAGTAGTCAGTCTTTTGAAAAGTGAATAAGACAATCCAACAATTCTGTCTGCCATATCTGGGGTATCAGGGAGTTCAAAATCTATTGATCCAGCCACCATACAGTCCACCTTTTGTTCGCTTGGTCCTACAAGTTCCAACCACTCTCCACATCTCCCAAGGCGATTTGAAGTTTTATTCACAATAGAATTCTTCGTTGAAATATAACAAACCGATTGTATGTTAAACCCCTTTATATCATATTGGTATTTATCTATTCTGTCATAGCAATTGAATACATTGTTTTGTTTCACATTCTCAGCATCCATATTAACTGCAATAAATTCGGTGAAACATAGTGTTCGTCCTTTCTGTTCCGGTTCTTGTTCGGTGTTTGTGTTTTGTGAACAAACCAATACAAATAGAAAGCATAATATAATTAAATTCCTCATCATTTGTCTTTTATTGTAAATGCAGATCACTTAAATACCCTTTCAACCATCTTTTGAAATGAATCCTTAGAACTTTAATTAAAATATTTCGAAATCATAGAGCTCTTTTACACTAAAAAATTGGTTTGATTCGAAAATCAAAACCCTTTTCCAAAGTTGTTAAAGGATGAATTTCTATTTTTAGTATGGAAGGATATTGTTGAATTGATTCCAAAAATAGATTATAATTGATTTTTTTATAATTATTTAAAAATATTTTTAAAAATTAAGTAGTTTTTTGCTTCATATACAAAAAATATTTTTTACTTGTCAAGTTATAACAATCAAATGTATTAAAAACCTAACAGTCGATAAACCATTATCACTAAATGCTTTCGAAGTCTACTCAATTTTATGGTCTGTAGATTATTGATGTAGTGCTTTAATTATAAAAAAACTACATAATAAAAACATTGTTACGAAATTTTTCTACTTTTTCGTTTTGTGTTTTGAAACTCCTTGTTGCCGGTTTTAGTTTCAATTTATTAGGTTCTTCTGCCAAGGCTTCGTTCAGAAAATGAATTTCCCATGAATAAACTTTCCAAAAGGTTTTATTTAGTTCAATAATTGATAGATTGTATATCTATTTTTATATTTATTGAACAAATCAAGCAGTTTATGATTATTTTGACCAATTTATTTATTCTTGTGTTTTTATTTCGATAAATAAATGACGTGGAAACTAAATGATGGAAAGTACATAAAAATATCAAACAAAAAAAAATATTATTATTTAACTTTTTTATATTATAAATAATGTAAAAAAGTCAAAAATGGTCGTTGTTTTTTTTCATATTTGTTATGTTATATAACACTTATATAACATAAGTGTTATATAAGTGTTAAATTGAAAAAACAAGTGCTTGTTTTTTCAATTCGAAAAAGCCATTTTGGTATTTTAAAAATCGAATTACGGAATTAATGGCGAATCATTTTATATTTATATATTTCGGACTTTTTAAATTAAACAACAAGGAATTATTCATCTAGTGTCCATTAAAAATTTTGGTTACATTTTTTGCTGTCTTATTATTTTGATGGTTACTATTGTTTTTATTTAAAACTTTTCTAATAGTATGATTAATATCCCTCCATTTGTGTTTAAAAAACCCCACAACTGGTTATAAAAGAAATAGGAGCAATTATAATTATTTTTCAATGATTTTATAATTAGAAAAAGGTCATTTTGATTTTTTACTGGCCGGTAACCAAAATTACAAGTTAATTGCGTTTTTAGTCAATTGTCGATTGAATAAATACATCTGGACGGTTACTACATGCAGAGACTAACGCTTTTATTTAATTTGCCAGTTATAATTTGCAAACAAGACTGAATTTGGAGAAAGCAACCACACATTTTACAATTGACTGTTTTATTGATAATGGCGAACCAATAAAACAAAAGACTATTTGAGTTGGACTACTTTTTCATTTTTATGAAAAGTGTTTCATCGCGTACTTTATAATAATTATTTATACAAATTATTGCTTTTGTGCTTTTTTTTACTATTATTTTTATTTTTTTTAAACGATTGTTTTTTATTTAAAAGTTGAGCAAAAAAATGAAAAGTGATGTTGGGAATGAGAGTATTTCTGGGTGTCACTTTAAATTACTTTGACAATTATCTTTATCTTTATCTTTATCTTAATAATTATAAATATAATTATTTATGTAAAGTGACTTCCCAAGGTGTGCAAGTTAAGGTATAGTTCATTTATAATTTTTTTATTAAAAAAATAGAATCATTAATTTTTTGACATTTTGAAAAAAAAAGATTATTTTTAGTTTAATTATTAATTATAATTTTGAAGTTATTACTAAACTATACTTTAACTTGCACACCTTGTGACGTTGCAATTTTTAACTTTCACACTTCGAATACAATTAATTAAGCAACAATTTCGGGAAAGCGACCCAATGGAAATTATCGAAGGACCAGTTCTGGACAACAGCACACATCGATTTGAGACAATGAACTGCACCTATTAAACAGACTATTTGTTATTGTTTGCTATAAAACGGCACAGAGAAAAATATAATGTTTATCATACTTCTTTTTGTCGCTTTGAATTACGCTGACACAAGAGACATCGACATTTATTCACGTCTTGAAACAAAACAGTTTTTACATTAAACACATAGACAAACCATAACCCAATTTTTATAATTTAATTTGCTTTTTGTAGTTTATTAATTCAAGCACCAAAGGGTTGTGTGTTTTTTGAAACAATTTGGAAATGAATAACATTTTTTAATAAAATGTTTTTCAACTGAAATTTAGTCTTGCACGCCCTTTCCCTGTAAAAAAGACTAAAAATTTTAACTTGCACACCTTGGGGAAGTCACTTTACTATAAATTAATTAGCAAAGAGAAACACCGATAGTTTAACTCTTTTATAAGCGAAAAAAAGTAGAAATGAGATATAACAATGTAAAGCACTTAAACATGTGAAACACACAATCATTGTGCGCAAATAACTTTTTTAAACTCTTCAAAGGAAACCTTTCCGTCCTTGTCCGCGTCAGCTTCTTTTATCATCGCGTTAATTTCATCGTTTGTAAGTTTCTCACCAAGTGTAGTCATCACACGTTTCAGTGAGACAGTTGTGATGTAGTCTGTCCCTTCAAACGCAAACACATCAAAGACCTGTTTAAGTTCCTCGTCTGACATGTGTTTTATTAGTCTTCCAAGTTCTATCTTTTCATAGTAATTTATTGGTCGATGTACTATAGTTTTAACTCTGGTAAATAAACTATACCAAATAGAAATGTACTATTGAATTCAAATACATTATCAGAACTATTTTTTAAAGAATTTAATAATCATAGAATGAAGGTGGAGACACTTGAGCAATTTCGAGCTTTTGCAGAAGATCTTCTTCGGAAGAACCCAAATGTTTTTACTTCTTTTTACTTGTTTTAATTGTTTTCATTCTGCAAATTTCAATTTCGTTGTCACATTTTAAGAACTAATAAATAGGCGCGTTATTCGATGAAATATCGTGATGACGAACAAATAGTATCTCTCAAAGTGACTGATGATGATAAGACTTACACCATTGATATTAACAATCACAAATACCTGAGAAGTGTTACGGAGTTAAATATGCGTCTTTTGTCACTGATGTCTGGCCGTACCAAGTTGGAGTGATTCTCATTGATTTTTTCTTTATTTTTTCATCTTGACCTGTCTTTATCAAAAATCGGAACGCAACAACTTAAAACTCAATTTAAAATCCGTGAATTTTGATGTTCTCTTGTGTCAAAATCCCTTCTGTGATAAAGAAGTTCGACGCTGCTTTTCTCTGGTCTCCTGTCAGCTTCATCTCAGTTCCTGTCTCCTTCTTTTCGAGCGATCCGTTGCAACTGAATGTCTACACAGTAAGTTACTTGAATAATACAAAGAGGAAATGTAAAGTATGACAAACGTGTTTGAAATGTTTCAAAATAAGTTCCATGTCGTACCTTTCAGGAAGTCCACTGATCGTTGTCAGACATTTTCTCTTACCACGCTGTTGGATACGAAAGTGAACGACAAACGCTCCTTTTCCCGAGATGGTTGAATCTTCGACGAGTTGGTCAGTGTTTGTGATGAGTGTCTCTTGCTTTTCTGACATGAAAAAGTGGTGTTTTTTTTACAGTTTCTCAAACCCTACTTCTTTGTTGAAATATCTTACTCAATTTCTCCCACACTGAGGTAAAATTTCATTAAAATACAATCGTAAAAACTCAAAAAGACGATGAGATATCCTAAAAATCAAAAATCAATTTCGAATGGGCAGATTTTGCACTTCTCCAACGTAACAACGGGATAGTGATACTTCTGCATATCTTCAACCTTCTCTATGTCTTGAATATGTTCCTTTTCCATCCCCCCATTTGGAACGCATTCCTTCTTTTGTTGCTCATTTTCCTCTTCCTCCTCAATAAAGGCATATTTCGTGAAGTGTGGAACAGTAAATGTGACTGACCTCGTCTCGTCGTTGTGGTCTATGACATTAAGTCTCTTCATCATATTCGGTAACATTTTCTTGAAGATTTCCGGCGCTTCGACAACCCCATTTAAAGTGACAGTAGCCGCTTTATTCAGTTTTTGGCCAAGAAGCGGCTTTTGCACCCCATCAGGATAGACTTCAACAGATCCTTTTTCGATGAAGACGCAGACAGCCAAGTTAATGTCAGTAACATCGACGTTTTCCCATACTATCTCTCCATAAGGTACTCTCTTGATTTTGAACACGGGTAAACACTTGAGAACATCTATTGGGTATTTGCGCAATTCTTCAAAGGAAGGCTCGGTCACATATCCCTCTTTTAAACCCGATGGAGCAGCCTTAAACCCTCCTACATTCCGCAACGACTCAATCTCCTTCTCAGCTGACGTCAAGATTGATTCGATGACTTTTGGTTCCACAATACAATTTGATGATGAAAATGAAAGTTCGTCGGTGCGTACAAAATCATAAAATTGTGCACTTTGCTGTCCGTTATAATTCCACTCCTTTTCTTTCTGTTTTTGGTTTTGTTGAATTGATGAATTCAGTGAAAATGAGGTGACCTCGTTTGGATTCAACATTGTGTATTTTTCTTTCTCTTTTTTTATTTTTTTTAATTTGCATCGTATTTGAAATGTAAATGAATTATTATTTTATATAGTTAACTGTATTATAATATATAATTCGTTACTGAGATAGATATACTAGAAAGTAATAAACCATTGTACAATAGAAATGGTTTCATTTCGATAAGAAAAACAAATTAAAATATTAATTAAATTGAGTCATACCCTGAAGTTGTGTTTTGCTTCTTCATCTTCTTTACAAGGAAGAGAATAAGTATTACGAGGACAAGTAAAATAGTCAAAACAACAAAGCCCCCAAGGCAACTAACAGCCACAATAAATGACGTTCCAAAATCAGTCTCTGCCGACTGTGACTCTTCTGTTGCAAAAACTGATAAAGTTAAAAGCAATACAAACAATACCTTCATTAACTCTTTTTTCCTAGTTTATGAACCGTTTTTTCTTACTTTTTGTAATTCAAAATATATTTCGTTTTTATAGTTTTTGATAGTTTAATATAGTTAAGAATGTCTATCTAATGTATAGTTAACATCAAATAATATATTTACTAATAATATATAGTTAAACAAAGTAAAACAAGTCGTTTTTCCTAAAATAATTAACCATAAAGTCTAATAGAGTATTTAATTTTATATAATATTTTTTATGTAATTATATATAATAATTTTTAAACTATTTTTTTTTATTTATCTAAAATAATGTTTTTTTGATTTTATTTTTATCAATCATAGCACGTAATTATTATACTGGTTGTGATAAATAACAATCATATAACATTTATATTATTGCTGTCAATATAAATTAACGAGCAATTATTAAATTGAACCATGTATGATGGAATTATATTGAATATTAAAATAAAAAATATTATATAACAGTTATACAATTACTATATAAAAAGAAGCAACATTTGTAATAAATATTTTTATTATAAATGAATTATAGTTATTTGATTTCTTTTCAAGAAACTTTCATGTGTATTTCATTTATATTTAATTACGAGTTTAACCACGTTGCCAAAAAAGAGTACCAAAAATAGAGCAAGATCTTAGGGTTGATTTTTGCCTTTTTGTATTGATTGATTGTGTTTGGTTAATCCCCAAATAACGGGAAATGAGGAAAAGAATGAATATAATGGAATAGATGATAAAAACGAAATAAGAAGTGGCATCTAAAAAATAGAAAGCGATGAGCACAATTACAATTCCAATTGACGAGTATGTCCGGCAGCAAGCCAACGAACAAAAGGCAAAGCAACACATAGCTGAGATAGAGTCTCTTAAAGCTGAATTGACTGCTCTAGTTACTAAATCGAAGATGATTGAAGATAAGAACATAGAGATGTCCAAACAAATTGCACAAAATGAGATTCACCTTACTGAGGCTAATCTTCGGTGTGAAATACAAAAAGTGAATGTTATTAAAGTATCTCAAGAAAAGCAGATGGCTGAGACTCGTCTTAAGCATGTCATGCGAGATTATGGAGTCTTAAAACACCAATATGAAGAACTTACGATGGAACTTTCTGATTTTGCGACGCTTGTTGAAACGGAGGAGACTGTCGAATTGTTAGACCGGTCAGAGAAAGAGAAAATAGAAAAAGAGCGCGAGAAGAAGCCACGTCGCCGGAAGGAGAAAGGTGAAAAGGGTGAAGAAAAAGAGAAGAAAAAGAAAGTTGAGAAGAGTGAAAACAATGAGAAGACGGAGACTGCTGATGGCGACACCAAAGTCGAAGGTGAAAATATTGAAGTGAAATGTGATATTTATGATGATGAGACAGATACAATCGATGACTTTGCGATGATGGGAGTTAAAGATGACATAGATGAGACTGAGGAACTTTCAACATCTGTTCTTTTCAAGAACCCACAGAAGTGTGTTTTTAGTGTTAATTACAATTTAGTTATCGAAGTGATGAAGAACATTATCGATAATGGGAAGAATGTAGCTCGTATTAAAGGATTTCCATCTATTCTTGCTGTCGATGTTTTCAAAGAATACACCAAAATGAAGAATATCAATATCTATGATGGAATTAAAGGTGAAAAAGAGAGAAAAAACCACTTGAGGTACAACGTCGGAAGTTTCAATAAGTGTTTAAAAAAACTCGAAGATGCTCGAGTTAAAAAAGGATTACCAGAGACTATCAGAGTCGTCACTTCGTGTTACGTATACATCCAGTGCATCGGCGACCAATTCAGAGGGCGTGGTCCAACAGCTTGAGACCCTTTTATCAGAAATTCTGTGAATTACTATTTAGTATAACTTATAAGTTAAATTACTATTACGAATAGTTTTGTTGCGATGTATTTCTATTCTAAGAGTTTTGATGTAAAAAATACATATTTTTTCTACTTATTTAATTAGATGGAAAAGTTCTATTTTGAAAAAGAAATATTCGAAGTCGTGAACTCGAATAATATTGCTATGGAATTTCCCAAAGAAAAGATCACTTTTTTGAAAGCAGTCGAATTCATGGGAGAATTTGAAGAAGCAATACCTGTGGTTAATGAGATGAAGAAAGAAATGATGGACTTCATACAATTTGTTGAGGAAAGCGAGTGTGAAAATTATGAGGAAATCATTTCGTCTTTGAACAAGATATCGGACGACTTATATACAGTTTGGTCTTTTGTGTGTCCGATATATATTTTGAACAGAAGGACTAACTACCCAGAACTTCAGCACTACAGTTACTTCTGTAAAACCTCTCTATTATGAAAACAACCCAAATATGCAAATTATCCAAACAATTGCTTTCAAGTTTGTGTTTTATACGTTTTGTTCAATGAGCAAATTTCACGTTTAGTTATGTCCACGGGATTTTCCACCTAAAATTGTGGCGTTTGTTGACGGTCGTTCTCTTTGCAATTCAAGACGCACTTTTATTGTCAACGTGTCAGTCTTCAATACTTTCTTCATTGTTGTCAGATGAAAGTACAACTACACTTCTTGAGTCATTTAAAGAGACTTTCAACACAATTCAAACTGATTTGGTCACTCCAGATGAAGTCCTCTATGCACTCAAAACACTTTCTGATGCAATTGACAAGACAACCCCTGTTGTAGAAAATCGGTCTGAAAAGTGGAAAGAGTTTGTAGTCTTGAGTCAACCAAGTCATCTTATGTCAATATACCACTATATCAAACTTTCACAAAATACTGAAAACGAAGCCATCTCCAATTTAATTAAAAACGTAATAGATGATTTACTCACGAACGGACCTGTTGTCGAGAAAATGCAAGAAAAAGTCGTCTGTTTGATTGATGATGAATAGTCTTTTACTCTTCCAATTTTTAATTTATTAATAGTATTATATAGTATTTGTTTCTTTTACAATTGTAGCTTTAATTATAGTTCAATTTTAAAAAATTATTTTCTATAATTTTCAACCGAAATTTTATCAATTTTATTATAAAAAAAATGAGAAATGGTGGTATAATTTTTAAATCTTTGAAAAACATCAATTTATATGTTTTTGTTTATTTTTTTTAAACATCTTTTTCTAAAGATCTTTAAATGTATTTTTTAATTATAATTATAGTTTGATTTTTTTCCTAAACCTCATTAATATTATGTCAAAAACACACATTTTTCAGTCGAAACTTTGAAAAATCATTTAAAAAACGGGTTTTATTTTTCATGAAAATAATGATTTTTGGTCTTGTAAAAATACTCGATAATAGTACAAAATGATAACAATGTATCAATCATATTAAAAAAAATACAAAAACGAATGATACAGTTGTTATATATATCTACACATAAAACATCACATTCCCAAAAAAAAAGAATTTTTAATAATAAAGTAAATAGTTGTGTTGTGTTACCACGTTTCTATTATTTTAAAAAATATTAACAAAATGTTAATAAAGAAGTTATAAATATATTATTAAGTGTGAGAAATAATAACACGTGAGATATTATTGTGAAATGCCCCAATGATAAAACAAAATATTTTTACAAAGGAGTCAAAACTTGAAAAATGTAACTCTAAAAAAAAACTCCAACTGCTCGACTCTTTTTAAAAATCAAACAAATGATTTCTTTTTCAGCATAACATGGCCCAGAAATCGGGAAATATACTAATATGTTATATTCAAGAGTGTGAATTCAAAGTAGTCCTAAAAAATTCAAATTGTCATTTACTTTTCTGATACTTTGTTAGGCAATTTCAACGCGGTTTCTTATATTTAAATATATCAAACTCTATTAAACCATATAGTTTACCACTTTACCTTTTTTGCTTACCGCTTTTCGAAGAATCTAGTCCAATGCTTAAACGTTTAAACTCGAAATCGGCAACTTATCCCGATGTGTGATTGTTGCGTTAAGTACTCCGACAAGACATACCCTACTTTTTGCTCCTCCCACACTTTAGACGACTTCAGATATGTTGTCTTTTCAGTTGATTTCAAAGATAGATATACTCCACAACTCGACAAGGCTCCCAAACTCGAACCCCAAATATCCATATCCGACGGGTTTTCTTCACTTCCAAACCACAAACATTTGACTCGTGCAAACTTTATTGTTTCCACTTCGAAGAGTATTTCTTCTATTGTTTGTGCTTTTTCATATTTCTTTGTTATTGAATGTAAGAAAAGTATTGTTGAATATTTTATATAAACAAATATAGAAGATATTAATAGATAGAATACAGTTGGTGTCGCTTTCGAGTTAGTTTCTGTTTACCCTGAAAATGAAAAAGCATTCATTGAATGTTGCAGTTCAGTTGTTGCTGACATCATCATAATTGACCCACGTCAAGACTTCATCACAAACACCAAGGCTTTACATTTCGCATTGACGCGTGGTCTTTTCTTTGAGATAACCGAATATTCTCTCAGACACTCCGACGATCAAAATAAAACAAAAGAGAACTTACGACTATTCTTTGAACTTATCAAAGGCAGAAATATCATTTTGTCAAGCGGTGCATTCACTTCATCCGAATTAATGACACCAGACCAGCTACTTCAATTTGGGATGTCTGTTGGCTTAACACGTGGTCAAGCTTTCAATGCTGTCTTCACAAATTCAATGCGTTGTATTACTCGGTCGAAGAGACGTTCTCCAGTCCAGTGCAACTCATTCACTTGTGTTATAATGGCATAAATTACAATGCCACTGCTCTGTAATTTATTTTTCTTTTGATTGTTGTACTATTCAAATTAATACAATTACTAAAAAATACCAACAAATTTATATTTTGAAATTAAAGCTATGAAAAAAATAATAACAATGTTACACATTTTATATGAAAATAAAGGCTTGTGTAAAAGAGAGCAATTGAATGGAAAGTGCTAAGTTGTATTTGGTAACAAACAACAACAAAAGTTCATATAACAAAGATGATAAAAATATTTCAATTAGCCTTTGTGACTAAAACTTCGTTGGAATCTCCAACAGTGAAATAAGATTTTCCAAATCCAATGAATCCTCCAGACGAATTTTCCTGTGCAAAAGCTCTACATATGAACCCTCCAGCTTCCTTTCCTATTTTAATTTGAACGGTTGATCCAACTTTCATTCCTTTTGTGTTGGCATAAGTGATGTAGTTGTTCTTCTTGTCTCCATATAATGGGAACACACCGACCCAGGAGACTCTTGACAAAACCTCGTCGCTTGGGCCTGAGAAGGAAATGTTATAAAAATCGGACTCGACGCTGAGCTGCATTTTGACTGGATCGACCGAGAAGTCGCGTAACACGGTGACTAAGTCACCAACAATGTATTGAATACGATACAACCCACTCATCTTCTTCATTTTGATTTCAAATATCGTTGCCATCCCAAACTCCTTCTCCAATTTTACTAACGAGTTGTCGTAGTAATCCACAACACACACCTTGCCATTTGAGAATCGTTCTTCGGGGTTAATGTGGAATGTGAAAACAATTTCGTTGGTTTCCTCTCTTTCTTTGATGTCAACAACAGCCACATTTTCAATTTGATCGTCCTTCCCTTCGACGGAAGTAGGTTCAACAATTTCGGGCTTCTCAACCACTTCTTTAACTTCTTCTTTCTCTTCAAGTATAATGTCTGGAACGTTGACACTAAGAGAATCGGCTTTAACATCTTCTTCTTTTTCGGCAACTTCATCATTCTTCACGATAACTTCATCCACACATGACATTTTAATTCGTTTAAGCGCTTCATCGAGTGCAGCCTGAGACACACCATACGTATTCTTTTCAACTGTATTTGGGGTAGGTTCAATGAAAATTGGTTTCAGGTTGGCCATACGTGTGACAGTGGTTGACAGCTTTTTCTTTTCTTCAGCGCTCTCGAGTGTAGGAGGAGGGAAGTTCTGTTTAGGATTGAGAACGATAGGCTTACACAAGAGTGCTGTGATGGTCATGTCGACGTTTCTGCTGTTCATTTGGTACTCGCGTTCAATCTCGTCCATAGAGAACTGCGGGAAGACTGCAGAGAGTTGAGACAAATCCCCTTTATAAGCCTTTAAAAGTTCCGACTGTTGTGAATAGGTCAACCCCGCTAAGGTTGATGTGTGAAGATCAAGGCGTCTTTCTGTTGGTTTAGACATGAGTATGATTTTCTAGTTCGTTTTCACTTTAATAGATTGTTTTGAGGTTTCAAAATGACTTTAAATAAATAAATTATATATTTAATTGTTATATACTATTTATATCGAATTGTGATTGTAATTATGATGTTTGTTGATTAATAATGATGTTTTGATTAATGATGATTCTTTTCTTTAAAACTTTTTTCACAATTCCACAGATTAGTTATATCAAACTAATTAATTTAGTAAAAACAAAAAAAGAACCCGTCATATTATGCCGGAATATTAATAACAATAAAATAACAATTTATTAAACATCTTTCCGCTCAGTAACTTTTTAATTTTTGTGATTAAACACAAAACACACCCCCAAAAAAATAAACTTTAGTTTTATACACAAATTAAATGTACTGGCTATAATAGCATTTGTTTTAATACCAATTAATAATTACAAATGTATTACAGTCATGCGAAAAAGCTGTCGAGTTTGGAAAAACCTGT